TAAGAGGAATCCAGCAATTTCAAAAATAATATCTTCCAACATGTATGTGAATGAAAGGGCATGGTGAATGCAAAGGTATTATATTACTCTATATATATAATCAATAATAATAATAATAATTCATTATATATATATACATATATATATATATATATATATATATATATATGAAATATACAAATTGAATCTTTTCCTAGGTTCTGTCAGGTATAAAATTCCCTCTCATTGGGAGAAAAGATTTTGGAATGAAAGGCTTTGGTAGCTTTTTAATTTTAATACTTCCTAAAATCATAATAGTAATTATAAATAAACATACATGAAAAGAATATAAATCAGAACATGATTCAACCCTACTAACACTTCACTGTACTTCAAGTTATACAATTTGAACTACAAGATAAAATTACATTTGGATATTATTCAAATTTCTGATTAAACTGGGTCTACACAAATATCTATTTCCTTTACAGATTCTTTTGTACCTTTAAGCCTTGAATTTGCCACCATAAGTATCTCTAGAAGCTGGCAAGTTTGTTATTCTCAATCGCGGAATTTCATGAAATAAGAATAGATACTCATAAGAAAGAAAAGTCCGAAAAATCCTAACAAACATTGTGAATCAAGTTCTATATTAAGTCGAATGTTTATCAAATTTATGAAGTATCATGTTATACCTCGTATTTGTGCTATATAACATCGCTAACTAAATATCAGAAAAGGATATAATCTTTCTGAAAATGCAAATGGCTTTAACGCTTACCTGAATAGCAATGGAATAGGTAGAAATAGCACTTATTATTGACAGAACAAAGTCGACGCTTCTTGCAAATTCATGGTATGAAGAACGCCCCTAAATATTTATTGATTTCGTAATGAAATGCCGACATACACTTACATTTATGAAAAGAAAATACTCAGTTTAACATACAAACAAATTTTGGCTATAATAGAGAAAGTATGCTAAACCAAAAATATATTAGTCCCGTACTAGTTTTAAACCTTCGTAAATCAATGTAAACACATATTTCGATATATATATTTAAATAAAACGATTTGAAAATATAAAACAAAACAGTCTAAGTTTAAAGCTTCAAAGATAAGGTCAAGCCAATCATAAATAATATATTACCCTATACGAACTTAAAACTATTAAACAAACTCTGGAAAAAAATATTAGCACGGAGTATGTTTACAACATAAAAATATAAAACATTAAAACACTAAGTTCAAATTATGGTGATTAGCAGTATTCGAATATCGTTTAGCAGTACCAAGAATACATTAGTCCTGTAACCTCTAAAAAAGCTGTCTGCTACTGTCACTTAACTATTGATGAAGTTACGACATTTTTCTCCACCATTACACAATTCCTCCCCTTTAGCCGCTTCTTCGTGTATGAGTTAAGAGGTATATAATCGTTAAGCAAGTTTTTATTATAGGTGAGTGTCGAAGATGCTATAAACTGTGTCTAAAACCATTTTTTTTTTTCTTGACTGTTACAGTTTGAAGGGTTTTATGTGCTGCTCTTGTTAGAACAATGAAAGATAACTCAGAATTTGATAATGATTATTCCAGATTATCAAGTGTATAAGAGGTAGAATTACCACAGAGTAAGGAATTTATCAAAGAAATTATAAAGGAGGTTTTCAGTTAGTTATTCAGAATTTTCTTTGTAAACATTTGTTATAATTATATTATTTTAAATCTTTTCACGCACATGATAGGAAGCTTCATGAAGTTATATGAATTTTGTTTAATTTAAGAGGTCATTTTATACTGAAGCTAATTCTTTTCTGCTTTCTAGTGGACAATGGCGCATAGCATCAGATTTAGGAAAAAATTAATGCCGAGGAGCTTTGCAGACTTCTGTGCTGTTGTATTTATGTGCTTTGCAATTCCGGCCATTTACGTATTTGAGGTTTGTTATATGATGTTTGTTTCCAATTTGCCTGAAAATAGTTAATACAATTATACTTGTTTTTGTTTACAGGAAAATGTACAAATTCTCTTGCCAGAATATACATGATGAAGATTTGTTGGCTTTTACTGGGAGTCACAGCACTTGCGGAAACCATGCCAATAGCATATGTGTGGATATCATCTAAACCTTGGATATCATATAAACCTTTTGCAGAAGAAATCTTGTTGCTTATTTAGTTTATGGTGATATAGTTATATAACTATAATAATGACTTATTAATCCATTGACTTTCAGGTTTTCATTGTTGCTCCAACAATATATAATGCGACTCTAAGTGTTCTCCATGGCATTGCTGGAACTTTTATTGTTGCCAACATTATTGGTAATTTCATCGCAATTATGCTTGTGGATACTTCAACACAAGGATTATTACTGCCGTCACAAGTACGTATTTAAATGATGTATTTGTGTCTTTGATTACCTAAGTAACCTATTGCAGAAAGAGTACTGACTTAGAATAATAAAACTATAGCCTGAATATTTTTACTATATTTATGATAATTGGGATATTTTCAGATTTATCTTCAAGAATTGAATTTATTTTGATTATACAAACTACTCTATCATACAACTAAACTGAATAGATTTTTAAAATCAGTTTCAGGAACATCAGACACCAGTATGTGCTAATTCTTTGATGGACAATTTTCCAGGTTCCATCTGGTTGGCACGTGTGTGCAGCATGTGAAAGCACAGCACCAGCTCGGTCACGTCATTGCAATACTTGTAATGTGTGTGTCTTGAAGAAGGAGCACCATTGTGTCTTCACGGGCTGTTGTGTGGGCCTCAAAAACCATAGATACTTTTACATTTTCTTATTCTACATGTGGGGATCAACTTTATATTGTTCATTCCTAAATGCCTTCTTCATTTGGCCGCATGTTGGTAAGCTTATCTCTTCATAATCAAACTTGACTGTATGGAGAAGGTTGTGTGTGTGAGAACATGAGATTTATAATTAGTCTTATAATACAGATTAGCAAGATATAAAGAAATTCAAATTAGGACATGGACAGACAGACACACACTAAGTCACTCAATTACATCTAGGCTCATGCTTTGTTTACCATTTCAGGAGGCTTCAGCATGTGGGCAGTAGTGCGTCTGCTCCTGCCTGGAGTATGGATCTTATGGGAACCTTCTTTGGACACCCTTTATGCCTTCTTGTTCTCGATAAATGTTATTGGCTTCTTATTCATGACTGTTCTGATCTTCTACTATACGGGACTCCTTGTTACCAACACAACAACTTATGAGAATAATAACCGGAAGGGACAGAAATATGATCATGGGACAGAACATAACATAAAGGTGAGGTCTAACTTAATTTTACTCTCTACTTAGTTATTCTTGAAAGAGATATAAAAGAAAGTAGTGCTGTTGAAATGTTGAGGCATGGAACTGGAAGCCATTGTCATTGCTTTCCCATTCATCTGCAGGTTACACTTGGGGAACGTTGGTATCTCACATGGATCTTCCCAACCATATCATCCCCACTGACGTATGATGGTCTGGATTGGTCCAACCAGATCTCAAGCAGGAGTGTTAGACCTAAGACTAGGTAAACAACCTTTTATTACTCTCAGTCCCACACTAGACTATTGTCTACTATGGATGTCTTTAAGTACAAAAAAATATTATGTATGATTCACCTATATGGAAAAAATAACTATGATGTAATTGTCTTTCACAAACAAACCCAAAAATGTAGCATAAATTGTGTAAGCACAGAAAAGGCAAAATACTGCAATTTGACCTGGTAAAACATAAGGGTATATTCTTCCACTGCTGTGGAATTTGAAATCTTGTGATACCCTGAAGAAGACTGCTTGATGTGGATTTTTATAATGTTGTTACTTCTTTTTCAAGCTAAATACTCTATAACATCAAATTGCTATGGACAATCACAGGAAGGTATATAGAAGAGAGTAAAGTCGTATTCTCTAGCACAAAACTTAGCCAGATTATTTTATCATATTGCACATGCTCTGTTTTTTGCACAAATGCATTTCGTTGTCCAGGATTTTTTTTCTTGAAAGATCAGTTTGTCTTGGATATATTCGGACTGAACCTGGATTATTCTTCTACCAATATCAATTATTCTCTAGTCAGGCAAATATAATTGTAACTCCTTCTTGTCCAGTTGCCAGCATCAATTTCAAATTTAGGTGGTAACTTAGGCATTATTTTAAGGTGGACTGAAGTTGTTATTATTTTTCAGTGAATTTGAATATGATCACAACATCTTTATGGAAAGACAGCTTTTATGAAAAAAAAATTCTTCCTATGAATACTTGATTACGTGATATCTCAGTCCATGAGTGAAGATACTTAAGTAGATTAGGTGTAGATCAAATAAAACTAGTCATTAATCTTAAGCAATATCTTTTGATAAACAAGAGTTTTCATCCAGGAATACTGCCTGCAGATAATGATGTTGATTTTTCCTTATATCTTGATGCTAATTTTCATTAGCTTATAAGTAGGACTGATATGCTGCAGGCTANCAAAGTATATTTTGTCCTTTAGCAGTGACTACAAGGCCACTGCAGCTTAAACTATGTTCTATCCTATTCAATTTCTTTCGCTCTATAAGATGGCCATTTCCCTCTACCTACACAAGTCGCTATAAGTAACTTATGCCACAAAAATATTTACAAAACAATAATGGTCCTAAAAATGATAATGATAGCATCAAAAATAACATTATTAATTACAATACTCAAGATGAAGAAAAAGAGAGATGACATGAAAATAACAATATATTAACAGTAACGCATAAGAAAGTGATAATAACCCTAACAAGAATGATGATGATTATAACAATGACAATGATGATAAAAATAACAATAACAGTATTAACAATAACAATAAATATAACAATAACAACAACAACAACAACAACAATAATAATAATAATAATAATAATAATAATAATAATAATAATAATAATAATAATATAATAATAATAATAATAATAATAATAATAATAATAATAATAATAACAATAACAATAACAATAACAATAATAATAATAGCAATAATAATAATAACAATAATAGTAATAACAATAAGAATAATAACAACAAGAACAATAACAATAATAATAACAATATTACTACTAACAATAATAACAATAATAATAATAACAATACCAACAGCAAAAAATTAAAGATGTTTATTACTATAAGTATGCCTCATATATGTCTATGATATACCTCATATTACCTAAACTAAGGTAAAGTTGTATTTTGTTAAGTTACCCATATAAAAGTATATTTTTTTATTTATGCCATCTTACGGCAAATTTTATACTCGTGTAATGTAAACAACCCTATGTAGTGCCACGTAGATTCTCCTGAATACATAGAGTTAAGCACATCAACTCTGTGTTTTACTGATCCCCACAAAATCATATATGCATTGACACGTCAAACTTGCTTAATACACGCAGGGAAGATGAGTTCTCCCACTATGCCAACAGGTTATGGGCCCAGATTTAAGCAGTTTGATGGTGATGCAAACAAATATGATTTGTGGGAAGAGCACTTCCTCGGCGCGTTGGACATATTGGAACTACATCTCGCGCTCGATAAGTATGCTTCAGAACGTCCAGAAGGTTATAATCTGGATCGTGCCAAAAGGACAATCTACAGTCATTTAACTGGTTGTCTTGACAGAACGTCACTTGGCATGATAAAACGTGAAGCGAAAGGAGATGGCGTGAAGGCTTTGGCAGTACTATGAAAGTATTACCTAAGGGAATCAGACCAGAGGTTGTATGCTTTATTAATGTCATTCTTCACCAAAAGACTAGAGAATGGCGGCAGTGCTATGGAATATCTCTCATTCCTTGAGGAGACAATAGCAGCACTCAGAGAAGCAGGTGAGAGCATCAGTGATCGTATCTTAGTGGTAATCACACTAAAAGGACTTCACAGAAATACAAGAGTTTTATTGATACAGCTATTTTAACTTATGAAGATACTCTCAAAGGAAATTCTGATACAGAGAGAGTAATGGCTGCCCAAGGTAATAATACATTTAAACAGAAGAGATGCTTCAAGTGTGGTGAACCAGGCCATTTTGCATCAAAATGCTACAAAGGTGGTGAATATAAAAGAGTAAACAACCTGAACAAGCCTCAAAATGTCAAGAAAGAATCAGGAGAGTAATAACTCAGTAAATTCTGCTAATAATACAAGTGAGCCACAAAACTTTGAATATTCTTTCCATATAACACACTCAAGGTTACGACCCGTCGAGGGGACCTCAGAGTCATGTGACATTGGAAAACAAAATGTATCAGGCTTAGAAGCAGATGAAAGTTTGATCATGATTGACAGTGGTTGCACTACACATATAGAAATAAATGAACCAAAATTTGTGAGATTTGAAGAGTCCTTTGATCCACAAAACCATTACATTGAGTTGGCAGATGGCCAGCGGCAACAAGGAAATGTGCAAGGAATCGGTGATGTCAAAGATTTTATTCAAGATCGAAACGGCAGATCGAGAAGTGTTTTACTAAAAGATGCTCTATACATACCAGGATTTAAACAGGACATCATGTCAGTATGGAAGACAGTTCAGAGTGGACACAGCATTACTTTTTCACCAAATGGTAGTACACTAACTACCAATGATGGCACAGTATTTGATATTGTTGAGAAAAACAAATTGTACTACTTACGTAGAGGTAAGCAACATACAAACTCTCATATGGATAAGTTCAACAAGGTCAATTAAGGGGAGGCTAAGCACAATTAGAGGGAATGGCATAAAATTCTAGGACACTGTAATGTGACTGATGTGCAAAAACTTGAAGCAACTGTTAATGGCATGCATATTTTGAGGAAAGATAAGTTCAACTGTACCACATGTGCTCTTGGTAAAATGACGCAGTATAGAAATAGAGAGCCTGACAAAAAGGCTAAGTAGCCTTTAGATTTAGTCCACTGTGATGTAGTAGGACCTATTGATCCAGCAGGTAAAGGAGGTTTCAGGTACAGTATCTCTTTCATTGATGACTACTCAGGAGCTCTTAGAGTTTACCTCATAAAGAGTAAGAGTGATACAGTACAAGCCATGAAGAGGTACATGGCAGAAACAGCACGTTATGGCAGGATAAAAAGCCTGAGATGTGACCATGGAACGGAATTTACAAATAATGAATTCAGAACACTCCTTATAGAGAATAAGATTAAACAAGAGTTTTCTGCACCCCACTCTCCACATCAAAATGGAACAGTTGAGAGGTCACACAAATCCATTTTTGATATGGCTCGATGTTTACTGATTGATGCCAAATTACCCAAGGATATGTGGAGCTATGCAGTGAAAACTGCTTGCTACATAAGGAATAGGTGCTATAACCCCAGAACTCGGAAAACTCCAGTAGAAATGCTCACTGGAAAGCGGCCAAACATCAGCAGAATGAATGTTTTTGGAGTAAGATGTTTTGCATATGAAGAGGAGAAAAAGAAACTTGATCCCAGGAGTAAGGAAGGGATATTTGTAGGCTATGATGACCAGAGCCCAGCGTACTTAATTTACTTCAAGGACTCCCAGACAGTAAAGAAGATAAGATGTGTCAAGTTTATGGAAAACTCGCCCACTGTAGCTGAACAATCAAGTACCGAGCAAGGCTCAGATGAAGAAGATATCTTGGTGGAGACAAGATTTCAACAAAAACCATTTCCAGCATACCAAGATAAGCCACCAGAGAACATGAAGTGAAGAAAGAAGATATCCAACTCGAGAAAGACGGAAACCCTCACATCTAGATGACTACGTTACTGATGAACTAGACGACAGTATCTCCAGCGTGACACACAAAAGCTTCATTTATCATTGCTACCGAGTGTCACACAAACCAGTACCAGTCACCTACCAAGAAGCTATAACATCTCAAGAGGGACCTCAGTGGAAGAAAGCAATGGACGAGGAAATATCTTCACTTCAAGACAACGATACCTATGAACTTACTACACTGCCTGAGTCACATACAGCAGTAGGTGGAAGATGGGTTTATCAAGTAAAGATCTGGACCAAACGGCAACAAAAAATTTAAAGCAAGATATGTTGATAAAGGATATTCACAAGTGAAGGACATTGACTACAGGGAAACTTTTGCACCAACATCAAGAATGTCTACACTTCATGCTTTATTGGATGTGGCTGTATAGAAGGACATGGTAATACATCAAATGGATGTTAAAACAGCTTACTTACATGCTGATATTGATCATGAAATATATGTGGAACAACCTGAAGGTTATGAAGAAAAAGATAGTGCAGGAAATGTGTTGTATTGCAAGCTGAAAAAGTCACTTTATGGTCTGAAACAAAGTGGTAGAATGTGGAATAGTGTAATCCATAATTTCTTCATTTCAGAAGGATTCAAACAATCACAGAGTGATCATTGTCTGTATCTAAAGCATGATATTATTGTGCTCTTATGGGTAGATGATTTAATTATTGCCAGCAGTAACATGCACAAATTTAAACAATCCCTTTGTCAAAATTTCAGAATGACTGATTTTGGTAAACTAAACTGGTTTCTTGGAATGTCACTTGTTTCTGGTAAAGATAACATTGAGGTGAACTAAATATGTAGAGAAGATTTTGGATAGGTTTAATATTTCAGATTGTTATGCAAGAAATATACCATGTGATCCAAGTATTGTTAACACCTCAACAGTAGAATCTGATGAGTTGGCTAATGCTACTCTTTACAGAGAAATAGTAGGTAGTCTCATATATATTATGACAGGTACTAGACCAGATTTGTGCTATGTGGTCACTAAACTTTCACAGTATA